AACCTCTTCTATAGAAGAGGTTAGAACTGGCAGGAACCCACCCCTGGCCCCGACGATCAGGTGGGTCCGCCTGCCCGCTCCTGCGCTTTATTTATCCATATCCTCTCAGCTGATTCACGTGGCAGACCAGATTGCCGCGCCTCAGCTGTGTTACTCCCCAGAAGTAACATGGAAGGTAAGTTTTGTTAAAACTGCGCACGTGTGTGGAGCACATGTGATCACGCGAAGCACGCCATCACTGAACTGGTTGTTAAACCAGCAGGATCCCACTACTGTCTGTAACAGCAACAGAGTTGGAAGGGACCTTGGAAGTCATCTAGTCCAACCCCCTTGCTCTCACAGGAGACCTATACTGTTTCTGATAAATGATTACCAATTCTCTTCTTAAAAGCCTCCAGTGATGGGGCACCCACCACTTCTGGAGGCAAGCTTTCCCACTGGTTTATTGTTCTAACCATTAGGAATTTTCTCCTTCGTCCTAGGCTGCTTCTCTCCTTGGTTAGTTTCCATCCATTGTTTTTTTGTCTTGCTTTCTGGTGCTTTGAAGAATAGGTTGTTCCCATCTTCCTTGGGGCAGCCCTTCAAGTATTGGAAGACGGATACCATGTCACCCCTGGTCCTTCTTTCCACTAGACTAGGCATACCCAGTTCCTGCAATCGTGCTTCGTATGTTTTAGCTTCTAGGCCCCTAATCATTTTTGTTGCCCTCCTCTGAACTGTTTCCAGAATCTCGATTGACCCAAGTCTGACAATTTGACCTGGCTGCAGCTCTTCCTCCTGTCTCCCAGGGTTCTTCTCACAGCCCATTACAGTTAGAAATGCCCACTGCAAACATTCGCTTTGCAAAAGCTTTTTTTAAGAGTCATTGAGCTGTGCCAGCATCCACTGGTCATGTGTTTCTCAGCTTTTTCTCTTAACTAATTTCCGGTTGGGCAATCTGTCCCCCCCCCCTTTCTCTTCCTACCCCACCCCCCCTTTCTCGCTCTCTGCTTTGAGTAATAGCCAGGAAAAGGAATGGAGAAAGTCCCCAGTGAAACACTACGCCTTGTTCCCAGCAGCAACTTCCAGGGCAGAAATGTGCTTCTTCAATTGTGCTTAAAATAGTCCACCACAAGAGAATTTTCAAGCTCCTCTTTTCAACCCTGAATCATTAGGGCCAGCTTCCCCAATCAATATAATGGGTGGCCATTACAGGTAATCCTCAGTTTACCATCAAAATTGAGCCCAAAATGTTTGTGGCTAAGCAAGATAGGTGTGAAGTGAGCTTTGCCCCGTTTTGCAAATCTTCCCCATCTTTCCTAAGCGAATCACTGCGGTTGTTAAATGAATAGCACAATTGTTAAATGAAACTGGCTTCCCTGTTGACTTTGCTTATCAGAAGGTCACAATATGGGGTCACGTAACCCCAGGACACTGCAACCGTCCGTCATAAGTATAAAACCAGTTGCCAACAGTCCGAATTTTGATCGTATGACCATGGGAGTGCTCAAATGGTTGTAAGTGTGAAAGACTAATCATAATGTGATCGTGATGGGAGTAGCCCGCTCCACTTGTTTCAATGGAAAGAGCCTATTTCAGCCAAATAATTTTGGCTGCATTGGTCCAGGAGAAAACCTTTGGCTGTGCTACTTCACCTGGGACCTCAACAGAGGACTGCTACGTTGGGGGTAGCCAACCAGGTAGAGAAGATCTCCAGGCTGCCCAACACCTTGGTTTTTAACTTTTCTATTCAAATTTTTTCTAATTTTATTTATTTATTTAGTATTTGTTTGTTTCTTGAGCCACCCATTTCAGCAAAACGACTCTGGGTGGCTCTTAATTCAATAGCAATAGCAGTAGACTTATATACCGCTTCATAGGCCTTTCAGGCCTCTCTAAGCGGTT